TGTGAAAGGAAGGGTAAGCTGAGAGCTTGCTGAAGGTCACTAAGAGAGCTGATGGCAAAAATGACATTCACCCTGAATTTTAAGTAAATGTTCCTGAAATAATAGCAGTGCCATGGCCTCGGGGGGGGGGGGGGGACATAGCTAGCACTGGCTGAGCACTTTACAGAGCAATCCTAAACAAAGTTATACTCTTCACAACCCATCAACTTCAACTTACGAGGATGTAATTCTGTCAAGGATTGGACTGCTAGTACGAAGGTAGTATGGTAGGGAAGAGCACGGCTAAATAAGTCCTTTGAAAAGAATTTTCTTAAAGATCAAAAGCGGTGCGGGTGATCTATATTGTTTATCCCCGCCAATGTCACAGGTACCAACCCACAACCACATCTCCCATAGCACTTGAGTGATTAGCAGGGGAAGAACTGCACTGCCCCAGTTACAAAATCTTGGCTAGGAAAACACCATCTATCCAAATCAGAAGCACTACCAGATGAATAACAATTGCCCATTTATTGTGCTCTTTGGCAAGGGTCTGAAAACACCCACTTGAGGTCAGTGACACTTCCTTCCAAGCACGCTTTTGACATGGGTATTGAAAAGCAGGAGTGATGAGGGAAGATCAAAAGAGTTCAGCTTGTGTAGGCTAGGGAAAGAGGAGACAGAAAGGGTGAAGAGCGGATGGGTGAGAAGGGCTGGAGTCATACCATAAGTTTTGGGGATGCTAATAACTGCTGGAAGCAGTCTGGAAACCAGTTGGGCTCCAGTGCCATTAGAGGGAGCCAGAAGAGTTAATGAGCTTAAATTACAGGAGGAAAAAATTAGGTTAAGTACCAGAAGGTAAGAAACAGAACAATTGATCCAAGGAGCTACACAAGGATGTTCTATCCACTTGTTAGAGGTCTCTAAATACATGCTGAGTAGAGCTCTGTTTAAAAAAGATTCCTTCCTGTTTGAGAGGGCTCAAAATAGGGAATTTTAATGTAGGTCCGCAGAAACTAACAGCACAGGAAGGTCCAGAAGCCTCTGAGACAGTGACCCTTTTCACATTACCATTCTAAATTGGATGTTATTCACCGTTGGCCCAATTTTGAGTAAAGTGATACAGGGACGTGGGTTTCATACAGCAAATTCCCTTCTGTTAATAAGCCATCTCTGAAGCACTATGGTCATTTCAAACAGTGCCGCTTTTCCCCCTGCCCCTTTTCGCTATGCAATCTTCCTCTGACTTTTTGTTAATGTCCTAAGGTGAGCGCTATAGTGCTAAACCGCTATAGCAATTCAGTGCTATAGTAGTTTAGTGCTCTAGCACTCACCTTAAAACTTTTTTTAAAGTCTGCGGAAGATCATGTGGCAAAAAAGGGCAGGGGGAAAGTGGCATTGTAGGAAGTGCTATGGACATTTTAAACAGCACACCACAGTGATTCAGAAGCACAGCAAAGGGGATGAAAACAGAAAAAAACAGTTTCCCTCAAAAGTGGCTTGACCACATTTTGCTGACCTGACGCAACTGGGATTGTATAAACAAGTAAATAAATTCTGCTAGCAGCCAGTTACTAAAACGGGTCTGTCTGAAATGACAGAAAATATCCATTAGCAACCAGTTATTTAAACGGAATACAAAGACAGTTTGAAAAGGACCAGTGTCTTCTCAATGCATCCTATGATGCATCCTTGTTGATACTCTGGTCTAATTTTCATGTCATGGTTCGGGTGGTGAGGAAAGTTTCCTCCAGACACTTACAGGGAGTCCCCTGTGCAGGGGTCTTATCACTGCATCCCCCTAGCCCACAAAGAGGGTATTCCCTTGATCTGCAAGGGGTATCCGGTGCCAGCACTTCCAAAGTGAGTAAAGCTGCTCTGCTAGTTATGGACATCATTTATTATAATATATGAGTGATTAAGAGGGGAAACCATTATCACATCACTTTTAGGTGTGTGTGTGACTGGGAGTCCATTGGTTTAAAATCCACTCAGTCACCCGGCAAGCCACTCTCAGCTCCCCTTTCTGTAATACAGGGAAGGCTCTGATCTGCCTCGTAGGGTTGTTGTAAGGATGATAGAACATGGCTACTGAGTGTTTAAGCATGAGGCATGCATGTGATTCCATTCTCATCACTATTAGTTATTGCACAGATGTGCAGCTCTAACTGCAAAACAGATCCCACAAAGCCAAGCAAGCTGACCTTTGATTCTTTGCAGTTACTCATAAAAAAAAATCCACAATCACATCAAATTAGCCCAGGCAGAGATTTGAGTAGGGAACTACAGGCACCTTTTACCCCCAACGAGGCAATGATGAGCTTACACCCCACTGCCATATGCTACCATAACTTCACAGGAGAGAGCATGGAACGCCGGGGAAATGCTGGAATCCAGCACTCATGCAGGATTTGAAAGACTGTTTTAATGCCAGCTCCTGCAGCAAAGACCTTGCTTGCCAGGCTCCGGCTCAGACACACTCACAAGTAAGGTGCTGTGATTTGAGCAGGTCCTCACTGCCATAGCCCCAAGTAGGTGAGCATCAATTATTTTGAGTGCTTCTGCTGGCTGCTCCTCACTATAGCCAGCCTGCCAAAAATCACTAAATAAATCACACCCCAACAAGAATCCATTCAATTCCAAAGGAAATACAAATCAGATAGATTTGTACAAAGAAGAAGAAGAAGAAGACTATAGTGCAACACAAGAGCCCCACTTCATGTTTGGGAGGCTCACCAGAACAAAAAAGGACCACAGCAAACAGGATGCTCCTGCTCCTCCCCAGCCTAATCTAAACAAGAGAAGAGAGACCCATGGCATAATGAAGCAAAAACCAAGCAGAGCCCAGAGGAAGGAAAAGCACTTGCAGCAAGCCTGAAAAAAAAATATGGAATATACTTAGCCATGCATATGGTACAAATTCAGCATAAAGTTTAATTCTCAATTGAAAGCATCAGTTGTAGAGAACTTATTAAAGAGGGGGTGGAACATGAAAAGATCTTCAATCAACTCGGCCAAATATGGTAGCTTCATTACTAATTTATTTCTCAGCCTCTGGGGGAAATATTCATTTTGCATTTATTCTGGGCTACTTCTTTATCTTGCAAGTTTTGTGCTGGTGCCCCCGCAAGGGTCACAATTAATCTGAAATTCTAGCTCATTCCCCTCACATACACACACACCAAAGAAGATATGAACCACTCAGTCTAAGATAACAGCTCAACTAGTAGAGAGAAATGTCCAGCCTGGTTTGGCTCCCCACAAATCTCCAAAGGCCCAGGTCTCGGTTACAAGTACACAGAAATCCATGAGGTTGATTCACATACAGATTTCCCCCTAAGGGCTTATACAGTTACACAGGTAGGAGGAACGTATACATATTCATGTGTGACAATCACACCCATACGATCATTTCGTTGCGTGTGTACTCATTTGGAGTTCTGCAATGGGTGCAAAACAGGCAGCATGCTCTTCACACAAGTGTAGAGAAAAGGTCATTTGCGAGGCAGCCCTCGGGGAAAAAACATGCAGGTAACACAATTAATGCCTACAATTACATCAGCACACAATTCCTTGTCATCAGACCTTCAATATTCTAAACACCCCAATAGGATTGTCAGGTGGGTTTTATTTCAATGATTCACAAGTGGCTTTAGAACAGAGGCTGCTTATTCCAGGAGAGCACAGCTCCACGGAACACAGCTACGGTGTCCTCTATTTCACAACGCCATTTCAAAACAAACACTCCAGAGTGCCCCTTGTCTTCGACAGTTGGATATGGTTATTACTCATCATGGCCATTCCCAACATGCATGCACCAACCTCTCACAGAGGGTCAAGGTGTGTCCCTCAAATCTCTTTGCATTCTCTCATAGGCAGCCAAATGGGTTGTAGTGGTTAGACTGTCAGGCTCGGATCGGGAAAAGCCAGGTTTGAATCCTTACTTTGCCGTGGAAACTTGCTGGATTATTTGGGGCTAACTTGCAGTCTGACCTACCTCACAGGGTCATTGTGATGATAAAGTAGAGGAAAGCAGGATGGTATCAGTTGCTTTGGGTCCCCATTGGGGAGCAAGACAGGTTATAAATGAAGTAAGTAAATAAATAATGCCCGCTCCTCCCATACATTCCATAGCCAGAGATGTCTAAGGAGTGCATTTTTCCAGGATCCCGTCCTGCCCTTTTAGTCCTCCCAAGCCTCTCCTACAAAACCTCCTGCTCCCTCCTGCCCTCACCCCCCATCAGCATTCTCCCATGGCTTGCGCAGCATTATTCCTACCCCAGACGTCCTCATATTTTCTGCTCACCTTCCTTCCAAAAGTGCCTGTGCCCAAGAAGGTTAGCTTAGACTTCCCAGCCAGCATCCCATATCCAACACTGCTCAGGCATCACTCTTAGTCACTTCCCTTGCCCCAATGGCCCTACTCACCCCACCCCATTAGGTTTCCTTGCCGAATGCCCCAAAGCTTAAACCATGTCCAAACAGACTACAGGACTTAATGCCCCAGCTAGCCCCATAACCAATCCCCACTTCTTGCCTTAGCATATGCCCCCCCCCACATAGCTTCTTGACCAGCACACCACGCAGCCTCATATCCCAGATCTCAGTAGTCCCCCTTGATGTTTATATTCTCGCTACACACACACCTCCCAGATCTTGACCTCCACCAGAATACTTCCAGGCGCCGACATCTCAAAATGCTGTAACTGCCTGCCATACCTCCAACGCCCGGGTGCTCCATATCCCAAGCCTTGTCCCTACACATGACTAGTACGTGTCCCCCACCACCACCACACTCCAATGCGTCCGATCTCTTCTCCCATACGCAGGCAGCAACCCGCCCGCCCCTTACCTCCAGATCCTAGCCACCACCGCGCCACACACCCCACAAGCACATATTCGGAGGGTTCCCAGCGTCCTCCATCGCATCGGGCTCCGGAATCAGACGCCCCCTCGCGCGCACACACCCCCAAGAGCCCAGTCGCTCCCGCTCCCCTCCGCCGCCAGCCTGTCCCTCTCACCTGAGCTCCGGCCCCAGCCTGCCGTCCGATCTTCTCCTGTCCGCCTTCTCCCGGCCCAGGTGCCTCTGCCACTCGCAGCAACCCAAGCCGGAGGGAGCCGAATGAGCGGCCGCCGCCACCAAGGCGAAGGCGAAGGCGAAGCCGCAGCCGGGCAGCCAACGAGGGACCCGCGCGGGACTCCGCCACGCCATCTAGCGGCGTCTCTCAGCAAGGGCAGTTCAGTGGGGAAGTCGAGGAGCCTGAAATAGTCCAGTCCGTAAGAGAAGTTCCTGGTCCGCTGGTGGCTAACAGTGGGCTTCATTTCATCTAGAACTTGTTATCAGTGCCAAGATTCAGCCTGAGAAGAGGCCAAACAATATTTTTTTAAAAGGAGGCGTCTGAACAGAGTGCATACCTCAATCATTGGGTAACTAGGGTTGCCAGGTCTGGTTTGGAAAATACCTGGAGACTTAGGGGGTGGATCCAGGAGAGAGTGGGGTTTGGGGAGGGGAGGGGCCTCAGTATGATACAGTGCCATAGAGTCTACCCTTCAAAGCAGCCATTTTTTCCCAGGGGAGCTGATCTCTATCAGCTGGAGATTAGTTGTAAAAGCAGAAGAACTCCAGGCCCCACCTGGAGGCTGGCAACCCTATAGGTAACATAGATAACAGCTCCAGACCCCTAGAATTAAAGAACAAGGCATCTCATCAGTCTGTACAACAACATGCTGGTGAGATTTCATCCGTTTTCAGAAATGAAGTCCTGAAGGTTGGAGAAAGAATAGCTTTTGTGGCAGAGACCCCCAGAGAAAGACGCCTCTGGACAACAGGAAAGGTGGGCTTGGGAGAGGCTTCCAAAGAGCCATTATCCCCTGAACAATTATCCAATTCCATCATCTAATAATCCACTTAATTATTCATTGTGGCGCATTCAAAAGCTATTTCAAGCAGATTAGTTCCCCTACTTAGCCTATTTTAATGCATTTTATATTAAGGTGATGAAGCAAGGATACAAGGGCAATTTCCATCTGCCCATTCCTATTCAATATGCTAGTATGCAGAACGGGAGATAGTAACTCCCACGAGCATCAAATACAGAAGCAGGTGTTGGCTACTCTTCCACAGTCACATGGCACAGAAAGCGTGATTTTGTGGCTGCGTCTCAATGAGACCCATGTGTGCCCACGCTACCTGAGACTTTCAATGTGGATTGTGATTCCTCATCACTATGCCAACCTTCAAATTTCCAACAATAAAGGAATGCTGTCAGATGTCTGACCCTAACACACTTCATCTGTCCTTTTGCGCCCACCAAATCAATGTGGTGAAGCAACCATAAAACAGTGATTTCCCCTCCCTCTCATTTTAAACATGTTTTATGTGCCGTGGATATTTTAATCCATTTAATACATGTGAATACAGACCCAAGATCCATCGATTTTGTATACTGGCTTAAGAACATTGTGGGCTTCTTGCTGCCCTCGTGAGGACCCACCGCCGGTCGCCGTCGCGCTCACGCCGTCGCGGAGAGCCTACCGGGTGGCCGGGACGCCGAGCGGGGCTGAGGCGGAAAGGGGAAATGTCGCAGCACTCGAGGAGGGCTTGCCTCAGACACGGGGCCGTCAGGGGTTGAGTCACCGCCTTTGCCCGCCTGGGTTCTGGCCTGGATAGGGAGGTGTTTCTCTCTATGCCTGTCAGCACCTCCAACGTTCCTCTAGCCAGCCCAGCAAGTCCTCACCGGCTTGCCACTCCCTCCTTTTTATTCCCCTCTCACCATCAAGCCCGCCCGACGCCCCGGTCCCGCCCCCATTCAAAGGGGCCGACGCCGCTGCGCCCGGCCCCGCCCTATCCGTCCCCGGCTTTCCCGAGAGTCGGCCAGGCGGCGCGTGCTCAGCAGCCGCCTCTGGGTCTTGACGCGGCGTTCGGGGGTTGCGCCGAGCGTGCCGCTTCCATCTTGGCTCTCCCGGCCGGCCTTACCCCGACGCCCGGTGCACAGGTCCGTTGAGGGTCCTGGTCTGCGGGGTCGGGGCGGGCGGCGGGGTTGGTGTCGGGCCGATGCTGTCCTCCCGGGGTACCCGGGAGCCGTCTGGGGCCGGCCCGGTGGCCACCGGGACACACATAAGAGCCCTGCTGGACCAGACTACTGCTCCATGTAGACCAGCATCCTGTCTCACACAGGAGGGCCAACCAGTTCCTTTGGAGGGCCAACAACGGGACATAGAGGTTGAGGAATTCCCCTCATGTTGCTTCCTGGTATTCAGAGGCTTACTGCCTCTGGATGTGGATGTTCCCTTTAGTCACCATGGCTAATAGTCAGACCTATCCTCCATGAATCTATCTAATCACCTTTTAAAACCATCTGTGCCTGTGGACATCACTATATCCTCTGGAACTGAATTCTATGTTTTAGTCACTCATTAAGGAAGTATTTCCTTTTGTCCGCCCTGAATTTACTGCCTATTAGCTTCATTAGATGACCGAGAGTTCTAGTATTTTGAGAGAAGGGAAAAAGTCCTTTTTGTCAACTCGTTCTACCCTGTGCATAATTTTGTAAAGTTGTCTTTTCTAAACAGAAAGTCCCCGACTCCTTTGCTGATCCTCATAGCAAAGGTGCTGCAACCCTCTAATGCATAGACCCCATACAATCCCTTGGGGCCGAAAGATTAGAACTAAAATGTGAAGCCTGACCTACCCTCCATTCATCACCACCCCTGCTGCCAGTTCTTAAACCCTGAAGGAGGGACATTCTATGATTCTGCTATGGCACTACAGTGCTAGTGTAATGTAGTCACAGTCCTGTGATCAACTAGCAGCAAAGTCAGAAGTACAAGTTTCCGGAAAAAGTGCCAAATGTAGCAACACTAACAGAAACCCCTGGAGCATCCCTAGTAACCATGCAGCTACCCACCAACCATGCAGCTACCCACCAACCAAAAGGTCTCTTGCCCATGATATCCCCAAATAGCTATGCAGGGAAGGCACCAATCAATACATAGAGATAATCAAATCCCAAACATCACCTAGCCTAGTATTCAAAACTAAATGCACAACTGGACCATCAAAAAGAGACCATTTCCTATTGCAGGCCACTCTAGTGCTTGGGACAGCAATGAGGCAGCAACAAGAGCCCCGCCCATTTGAAAGTAGTAGTAGTAGAAGAAGATATTGGATTTATATCCTGCCCTTCTGTTGTGTTTCAAGTCCTGACAAGTCCACACATGTCCAGACAAGACCAGAGACAAACGTCAAGCTTCGCTCCAAGAGACAATGGACTATGCGGATCCTAGCCCGCTCCAATCAGGGGGCTAGGTTCCTGGCCGAGAGCCAATGGGACTCTCGGCTGCTGTAAATAACCTATTGGGAAGTGGGGGGGTGTTTGGGGTGGCGGTTTCTCGGGGAATATAAGCTGGCCTGCGAGCCGGCCAAAGTCGTCTTGTTCCTGATCGAATAAAGTACGCTTTGCTGAAATCACTCTACGTCTGCGTACTTTTCACCTTCACTACCCAAAGGAGTCTCAGAGTGACTTACAAACTCCTTTCCCTTCCCCTCCCCACAACAGACACCCTGTGAGGTAGGTGGGCTGAGAGAGCTCTGACAGAAACTGCTCTTTTTCAAGGACAGCTCTTATCAGAACTATGGCTTGCCCAAGGTCATTCAGCAGGTGCAAGTGAAGGAGTGGGGAATCAAACCCGGTTCTCTCATATTAGAGTCTGCACACTTAACCACTAATCCAAACTGAAAGGAACATGCATTTTGCTGTGAGAACAAAGAAGGCTGCAGGTCCACTGTCTGTAATATCACAACACTGGAGGCTGTGCGTGTTTGTGGCTTACCCTGAGCCCTGTCCTCTGAGGGACTCTGGCCAGGGATTGAATTTCTGATCTCTTGGGTTCTGCATCTGACCCCTTGACACCTTTCAGTTTGCCCAGTCCCCTTCTTCCCCTCTACCATACCTCCCCATATGTTTGTTTGGCTGACTGCCAGAGCCTTCCTTATAGACTTTATTATCAACCTTTTCATTACCATCTATTCCATATTATGACAACCTCACTCCTTCACTCATTATCACACTCACAGCAATTTTCTGTATGAGTCTCAGGAAGACATGGAGCTGTTGGGACCTTCCCCTTTACTCATGTGGCAAAAGCCCTGGCCAAGATGTAATCCCTATATGCCACTGTTCCTTTTTTTTTTTTTTTTGTTCAGTCGCACAGTTGAGTCCGACTCTTCACGACCCCATGGACCAGATCACGCCAGGCCTTCCGATCTTCCACCATCCTCTGAAGTTTGCTCAACTTCATGTTCGTTGCATGAAGTTGAGCAAACCCACCCATATGTGTGGCCGATTGAAAAGACAGCTGGGGTAACAAGGTATGACTTCCTTTTTCTGTTAACCATAAAAGAACGGACATACAGCTGATACAGAAGAGGGAGGTTGCCAGCTTTCTGCTCCTGTAGTGATCTTGTGCCTATGAAACAGTGGTACAAAAGGTGCATCCCTTTCCTTACCGTAACCCCATGACTATCTGTCATGCACTCTGGAAAGGCACAGGTGCCTTGTAAGGACAAAGAACAACCCGTAGCTTTCCTTTAGTCATTGCTGCAGCTGCTGAGTGCTTCACTGGTGGTGGGCTTGGCAACAGGATGGTGAACATTCTTGGCTCTGTGAATGGTGGAGAGCTGCCCAGTGGCTTGCAGAAAACCATGGGAGTGTGATGAGTAAAGGGCAGCAGGTGGAAAGGACCATTCCTTTGTGACGGCAGGTTCCGCAGTTGACATGGGTGTTATTATATATGATCTTTCATGCCTTAGCCTGCTCTCCCAGTGATAGCTCACATGGGGAGTGCGGTTTGTGTTTGAGCTGCCATCTGCAAAGGAAGAAAATGTGGTCCTTCGGACAATCCCTGTCCTGTGCATTTGAAGTCTCTCTTCAGTGACTGTTCTTGCTTGTATTCTGGCTCATATCCTGCAAGGAAGGATGAGTTGTGAATGTTTGGCCAGCAGTTACTATTAAGCAGAGGGACTGGCAGGGGACCAGTACAAGGCACTAGGAAAGAGTTCAGTTCCTGAAAATGTGTGTGAACCTTGGTCTCACATGCTCCACTCACTTCTTGGCAAATGAA